GTCGTTGGACCTGTGGGCACCATCCTCCTCCTCAGCTCATCCAGAGTGGTCCCTGGGGATGGCAGCAGCCCGTGCTAGCTCTTATCTCTGCCTGGGAAATCAGAGAGATCCTTCTGCCAAGGAAATTCAAAGGAGAGAAGTGACAAACTTTCCTTTTTCTCTCTTCTTTTTTTTTTTTATAATTTCTTTTTGGAAAAGCTTTGGAGAAATTTAAGAAAGGGCTGTCTCAGCAACTTCCCTTCTGCTTCATCACTCTGAGCACTGCAACATCATCAAATTAGTCAAAAGAAAACAGTGGTGCCTCTCATTTCTCCAAACAGCCAGATGCTCTTTCCGAGGGGAGGCAGCATCCGAGGCTCTTGCACCAGGGGGGCAGGGCAGGATTCCTCTTTCCTTTTTTAAGTATCAGATTTTGCTTTCGGAACAGAAAACAACCTCAAAAATGGTCCCTTTCCCCGAAACCTGGTCTGGATCCAAGAGATCTGGCTGATGGTATTTAATAGATGTGGCAGCAGGACTGCTCAGAGAGGGATCTCTGGATCCTGGATCCGGCCTTTGGGAGAGTTCAGCCAATCCATGGCCTCCAAGGACACATCTTCAGCACTGCTGCCTGTTCCTCAGGGACATTAAAGTGCCCATTTAAAAAATCTCATGGAGTGGGTTGGGTTGGAAGGGAGCTTTAAGGTCTCCTTCCACCTCCTGCTGTGAGCAGGGACACCTCCCGCTATCCCAGGTTGCTCCAAGCCCCGTCCAACCTGTCCAGGATTTCTCCACAAGGAGCCAAGGGCCAGCTCCACTCACCCTGTGGAGCTCCCAAGGCAGATCCCTGGGAATGCCCAGCCTGGCTGCCTCCAAGCACCCCTCGAGGGAACTGCACCCTCCCCACTGCCCACCAGAACAGCCCTTGGGGTCCTCCTGCTGCTGAAGTGCTTTTGGGAACATCATCCAGAGGAGGCTGAGGCCGGGCACGGTGTCTCTGCCGCTGTCCTGGAGCTGTGAGTGGCATCCTGGATGTGGCAGGTCACCCCTGTGCCTCTGCTGGGGGCTGGAGAAGCCACTTCAGGAGAGGAAAACAGCTTACCCCAAACGCCCTGTTCCCGCCCGGGCTCACAAACAAGGCAATTACCAGAAAGGGGCAGGAAATATTTGTAAAATGAAACCATTGATTGTTTTTATTTTTTTCCCCCCCCATCTGCGCTAGGACTGGGGTGAGGCTCTGGCTGCTCTGAAAGGGCTTTTCTCTCCCTGTCTCTCTCTCCAAAAGACAGAGCCGGATACTTCTGGGGGGCCTCATCCGGGGGGAGGTCTGTGCTGGCTCAGGACACGCACCCGGAGCTGCACCGGGAGGGAGAGAGGGAGGGAGGAATCCCCTGTCCGGACCCCGAGCTCTGGGAGGGAGGGAAGGATCCCCTGCCCTACCCTGAGCTCCGGGAAGGAGGGAGGGATCCCCTGTCCCCACCCCGAGCTTCGGGAGGGAGGGAAGGATCCCCTGCCCCGATCCCGAGCTCCAGGAGGGAGGGAAGGATCCCCTGCCCGACCTCGAGCCCCGGGAGGGAGAGAGGGATCCCCTGTCCCCACTCCGAGCTTCGGGAGGGAGGGAAGGATCCCCTGCCCCGATCCCGAGCTCCGGGAGAGAGAGGGATCCCCTGCCAGACTCTGAGCGCTGGGAGGGACAGAGGGATCCCCTGCCCCGACCCTGAGCTCCGGGAGGGAGAGAGGGAGGGATCCCCTGCCCCACCCCGTGGCACAGCACCGGCGTGGAGGCGAGGGATGCACCCCCGGGGTTGGTCTAATGGCTCTGTGGCAGCCACGCTTGGCTGCGCTTTTCCAGCAGAGGCTGAGGGTGAGGCAGCACCGCCCTGCCGTGCTCACACAGCCGTGAGTCCGTCAAGAATAGCAACGCACAGCCCGCTCCTGCCACACTTGCAAACACGCGATGGGATGTGGAGCGTTTGCTCCTGAGCATCCGCCCCGGAATGGCCACCTGGAACTCATTGCTCCTTGGGAAGGGGCATAGAATTCTAGAATTCTAGAATTATAGAATCATAGAACATGCTGAGATGGAAGGGATCACAAGGATCATCCAGTCCAACTCCTGGCTCTGCACAGACACTCCAACAACTCCACTCTGTCCCTGAGAGTGTTGTCCAAACCCTCCTGGAGCTCTGGCAGCCTTGGGGCTGTGCCCACTGCCCTGGGGAGCCTGGGCAGTGCCCAACCAGCCTCTGGGGGAAGAACCTTTGCCTGAGATCCAACCTGACCCTCCCTTGGCACAACTTCGTGCTGTTTCCTTGAGTCACAGAATCCCAGAATCCCAGAACATGCTGAGCTGGAAGAGTCCCACAAGGATCATCGAGTCCAACCCCTGGCCCTGCACAGGCCTAGCCCCAAGAGTCACCCCCTGTGCCCCAGAGCATCATCCAAACCCTCCTGGAGCTCTGGCAGCCTTGGGGCTGTGCCCACTGCCCTGGGAAGCCTGTCACTGCTCACAGAGAGCAGAGATTGGTACCTGCCCCTCCACTGCCCCTCGTGAGGATGTTGAAGCCCTCAGTGAGGTCTCCCCTCAGTCTCCTCTTCTCCAGGCTGAGCAAACCTTGAGGCCAGTGACCGGGAGCAGGTCCCACTCTCCCGACTGAGGAGCTTCCCTCGTGCCAGTGCTGGGCTTGCAAACACCTCTCTGGAAGCAGCAGGTCGAGCCAGGCACCTGCAGGTGTATCCTCAGCACCATTCCAGAGGTGCCTGTGGGATCTGTGGCACACTGAGGTCTCTCTGCAGACCCCAAGCCTCTCCAGAGGTGCCTGTGGGATCTGTGGCACGCTGGGGTCTCTCTGCAGACCCCAAGCCTCTCCAGAGGTGCCTGTGAGATCTGTGGCACGCTGGGGTCTCTCTGCACACCCTGAGCCTCTCCAGGCAAAGCCCATGCCCTTGGAGAGGCACCGTGGTCTTCTGAGAGGCAGGTTCCCTCTGCTGAGCCCCAAGCACCAGGAAAGCCAAGGGATTTCTTCCACTGCCTTATGGATTTAGGGCTTGTGTCCTGATTTTGGGCCAGTTATGAGGAGCAGCACGTTGGGGCTCAGAGGTGGCTCATGTGTGCCCGTCCCTTCGTGTGCCCGGTGGCCCTGTGCTGACCTGGCTCCACACTCCCTGGCAGGATGGGGCTCAGGGCAAGAGGGCAGGGATGTGCAGCTGGGAAATGAGTGTTCTCCAGGAGATTTAACAGCTGGCTCTGACTCAGAGGGAAGAGCCAGATTGGCTGAATTTTCATCCTGCTAATTCCCTGTCTTGCTGCTGGGGATTATCCTACATGGAGGTAGACTGGACGTGTCAAGAGACCCTAAGCTTCCCCTTTGGATGGGCTGGCATTGGGCAGAGTGGGATTGCCTGGGTTGTGGTTGTCCCTGCCCCTGGGATCTGCTGGAAAAGCTGGAAAAGCACCACCACTGTGCAGCAGAGATCCAGGGTCTGCTGCCTTTGGCTGTGGTGGAGCTTCTGGGATACTTCTGGATATTCTTGTGTGTTATCTGATTGAAACCATTTCATACCCTGGGAGGAGCCAAGTCACCACAGAACAGTTTCCTTGTCCTTGGGGGGGGATGAGGGCAGAGAAACCCCAGTGAAAACTGCCCCTATGGCACCTGTACCTCCTCATCTGTGCCAGGCTGGCCACTCTCACCCTAAGGCAGACAATGTCTGGAAGGTATCCAGGTATCTAATGAAATATTTTGGCAGCTGAACATTGCTCTGTAAAGGCAGGAAAATTACAGAAAACATGGAGCACATTAAAGAGGAGATCCTCTTTAAGTGAAGCATTTTCCTAAAGGTACAAGCTGGGGGACGAGGAGGACTGTGAGACTGAGTTTGTTTGTCTTCCTGGGACGGTGTCAAGAGCATCATGTTGGTGTGAATTATGTCCTGAGCGCAAAGTGCCCTACTTTGGTCGGTGCCCAAAACCCGCCGTCATTAATGAGAAGGCTCATTATTGACTTCAGTGGGCATCTGGAAGACTTTGAAGAACTGACAGCAGGAGCCAAACAATTGCCAGAGCGCATCACCCCGGCGGTGTGTTGAGCAAGGGCAAGGGCAGCGTGGCCACGAGCCGTGGGGCTGTGCCTGCCCTGGCCCCACTCAGCCCAGCCCAACCCAGCCCACGGGGCTTCTTCCCACCCGTGGCCTCGCCGGGGAGGTGGTGCTGGTGACACAGATGCCACCACCTGCCTTCTGTGACTGTCACAGCCCCAAGCCCCGTTTGTTTTCCTCCTTCAGAGGGCTCGTGTGGCGCTGGTTTGGCGTCCCCTGCCCGGGTGGCATTTCAGACGCCCCCGGGGTACGTTCCCCAGGCAAAAACTGTGCAGCAGGTTTTGTGCACCGGGAGTTCCTCTGCTCTCACTGCACGGCCCAGGGCAGCCAGTGCTGGGATACCCTCAGTCCCCAGCCCTACCCACGCCCCCAGCTCCCGGGGGACAATCCATCCGTTCGCTTGACTAGAATCGCTTGCACTCACCAGCTTTTGCAGCATCTGGAAAGGTCAGGGAGAGGAGAGAGAGCTGTTTCCCACCTCCTGGGAACCACCTATTTGTTCTTGGGCTTTTTTTCCCCTCTTCTCTGCTCATAAACACCAAGCTGCTCTGCAAACCCAGCTCGTTTTGCCGGGAGGTTTTGCAGCTGGAATTGTGGGCAACTCCCCTTTCCCCGGCTCCGGGCTTGCTCTCACAGGGTTCCAGCCTGGTTTTTGGGGTGCAGGGGGTCTGTTGTGTAACCTGGCAGAGCCAGTGTTGGGGCAGGGGTTTCCTGTTGCCCATAAGGTGGAATTTCCATTGTGTTTGGGTTGCCCTCTCCGCGGTGATTCATCGTCTTGGCCGAGGCAGAGTTTCCTTCCTTCCCGCAGGGCACTGTGCAAGGTTTCACTCCTTTGGAAAACAGCTGGAACAGGACCTGTCCACGTGATCCCAGCACCCAGCCACCCTCCAGTCCACTGACCCAAATGGTTTTTAACCCTCCAGTTTCAGGGAAGGGGAAAACAATCCTCAGAAAGCTTTCCCGGCTCGGATGGAGAACGACCGTGTCCTGGGCGACCTGTGGGGGAAGAGCAACGTGCCCGTGGTCCTGAACAACCCCTACTCCGAAGCAGAGCAGGTAAGAGACCATGGCTTGTGCTGCTTTGGGTGGGAAGGGGGGTTTGGGGGGCATGTGACCCATCCTGGTGGGCTCTCACCCCACGGAGAACCCGCGCTTTGATCCCCAGAGCTGGGGTTGGTGGGGTGCAGACCCCGTGGGTCAGACAGGGTATGTGGGTCACTGGAGAATGATGCTCTCCATCCAAGGGCTGACGTGGGATGGGAGCACAGCCAGGGACCAGGACTGTGAAACCTCCCTGGGGAATGTGATCCCTTTTGGTGGCAAACGGCCAAGTTGCATCATTAAAGTCGTTTTGATTCCCAGGAGGGTAATTCAATAGAGCACTTCAGATAATACGTGGTACACGGCGCCTTTTCATCTCCTCACACTCCACGGACATAAATTCTCAGGCTTCCTTGCCAAAAGGAGATTAACTCCACGCTTGTAGCAAAGCCAGAGACGTAAGGCAGACCCTGCCAGGCCACAAGATCACCTCAGGGAAAACATGACGTGGGTGAGCCCTGCCAAGCCTGCTCAGGCAAACGTGTCTCCCTGATGGGATTAACCAGCAGCAAGGCAGGACATGGGGGATCAGGCTCGGGACCATCTTGTTGCACCCCCCTGCCATGGGCAGGGACACCTCCCACTAGCCCAGGTTGCTCCAAGCCCTGTCCAACCTGGCCTTGGACA